AAAGTTATACTGTCAATCCGTCTCCAATGATCCTTGAGGCTTTTGTATACTGAGGGAGGGAATTTATTTGACATTTAGGGGAGAAATGGATACTGGTTCTGAACTAAAGCTGATTCTGGGAAACCCAAAATGTCTTTGTGGCCTTCCAGTAAGAGTTGTGGCCTATGAAGGCCAAGAGATCAATGGAGTTTTGCCAAGGTCTGGCTCACAGTGGTTGCAGTATGATCCTAAAGTCACCCTGTGGTCATTTCCCAAGTTTCAGAATGCATAATTGAGGTAAATATACTTAGGCTTTGGCAGAATCCTTACATTGGTTCCCTAATCTGTAGTGAGAGCTACTTGGGTTGAAGGGGCTAAATGGAAGCCATTAGAGATGCCTCTACTTGGCAAAATAGTAAATAAAACTCAATAGCACATCCTCAGAGAGATTGCAGAAATTATTGCCATCACCAAGGACGTGAAAGATATATGAATGATGTTTCTCACCACTTCACTCTCTATTCGGCCTAGGTAGAAAAAGGATGGATCTTGGAGAATGATGGTGGATTACCATTAGCTTGTTCAAGTAGTGGCTCCAATTGCAGATGTGGTTTCCTTGCTTGAGGAGATTAACACACCTGGTATGCAACTACTGATTTTGGAAATGAAGTTTTCTCCATACTTTTCTATAACTCCTACCAGAAGCAATTTACTGACAGCTAGGAAATCCAGCAACACACCTTTACTTTCCTGTCTCAGGGGTATACTAACTCTCCACTCCTGCGTCTTAACTTAGTTTTCAGGAATCTTAATCATCTTTCTCTTCCACAAGGTATCACATTGGTCCATTACATTGATAACATTATGTTGACTGGACCAAGAGAACAAGCTGTAGCAATCACTTGGGACTTGTTGGTAAAGTATTTGTGTGGCAGAGAGTGGGCAATAAATCCAACTGAAATCCAAGGCCCCTCTAATCAGTGAAATTTCTAGGAGTCTAGTTGTATGGGGCATGCAGAGAACTCTCTTTTAAGATGAAGGATAAGTTGTTGCATATGGCTCCCCCTCTAACCACAAAAGAGGCACAGTACCTACTGAGCCTATCTGGATTTTGCAGACAGCATATTCCTCAGTGCAGTGTGTTACTCTCGCCCATTTATCCAATGGCTTGAAACGCTGCTAGATCTGAGTGTAGCCCGGGACAAGAGAAGGCTGCGCAGGCCGCTCTGTCACTGGGGCCATATATCCAGCAGATCCAAAGGTACTTGAGGTATCGGTGGAAGATGATGATTCTCTCTGGAGTCTCTGGCAGGCCACCATAGGTGACTCACATCAGAGGCCTTTAGGGTCTTGCAGCAAGGCTCTGCTGTCATCTGAAGGCAACTACTCTCCTTATGGAAACATCTCATGGTCTTCTCCTCGACCTTGATGGAAAATGAACGCTTGACCATCGGACAGCAGGTTACCATGTGGCCTGAGGTACCCACCATGACCTAAACATCATCTGACCCACTGAGTCATAGAGTCGGACATGCACAGCAGCAGTCGGTCATGAAAAGGGAGTGGCATATATGTGACCAAGACTGAGCAACTCTGGAATCCACAAGGTACACAAAGAAGTTGCCCAAACACACATGGTTCCTACTCCTGCTATAGGGCATTCTGTCCCCCAGCATGCACTGCCAGCCTCATGGTGTGCACCCTGTCATGAGCTGACAGAGGAAGAGACTAGGACCTGGCTCACATATTGCTCTCCATGTTATGAAGGCACCAACTGAAAATGGACAGACACAGCTCTATTGCCCCTTTCCAAAAATTCCCTGACAAGCAGTGCTATAGGGAAATCTTTACAGTGGGTGGAACTTCAGGAAATGCACCTGCTCATACATTTTTCTTGGAAGAAAAAATGGCCAGCAATATGACTATGTTCTGATTCATGAGCTGTAGCAAATGATCTGACCAGATGGTAAGAGACTTGGAGGGAACATGACTAGAAATTTGGTGACAAAGTAGTTCAGTGGTATGTGTCTAGACTTCTCTATATGAGTTAAGGATATAAGCACATTTGTGTCTCAGGTAAATGCTCACCAAAAGGCAACCCTAGCAAATGAGGATTTAATAATCAAGTGGATAAGATGGCCCTTTTGGTGGATCGCAGTCAAGTTTTTCTTCAGTCACCCCTGTCATTGCTTAATTGGCTCATGCACAAAGTGGTCATGGTATCGGGGATAGAGGTTATGCATGGACTCTGCAAAACGGACCCCCCACTCAACCAAACTGGTCTGGCTATAGCCACTGTGGTATACCCAGTATGCCAGCAGCAGAGACAAACACAGATTCCCCGATACAACACCATTCCCTGGGGCAATGAGCCTGTGACCTGCTGGCAGGTTGATTGTATTGGACTGCTTCCATCATGTGAAGAATACTGCTTTGGCCTTACTGGCATAGACATCTATTTCAGGTATGGATTTTCCTTCCCTATACACAATGCCTCTGCCCAAACTACCATCTATGACTGGCAGAGTGCCTTATCTATCATCATGGTATTCCACACAACATTGCTTCTGACCAAAGAACTCTTTTCATGGCCAAAGAAGTGAAGCAATGGGCTTATGCTGATGTGATTCACTGGTCTTACCATGTTTCTCATGTTCCAGAAGCAGCAGGATTGATAGAAAAGTGAAGTGGCCTTTTGAAGATGCAATTACAGTGCCAACCAGATGGCAATACCTTGCAGGGCTGGGGGCAAAGTTGTCCAAAAGGCTTTAAATGAGCATTCACTAGATGGTACTGTTCCTCCCATAGCCAGGATTCATGGGTCCAGGAATCAAGCAGTGGAAGTGGGAATGGTACCACTCACCATTACCCTTAGTGACATATGAGCAAAATTTTTGCTTCCTGTTCCTGTACCTTATGCTCTGCTGGCTAGAAGTTTTAGTTCCACAGGAGGGAAGGCTTGCACCAGGAAGGACAACAATGATTCCATTGAAGTAAGACTTCCCTCTGGTCATTTTGGACTCCTCGCTCCTCTGTGTAAATAAGCTGAAAAGATAGTTATGATGCCAGTGGGATGACTGATGCAGACTTCCAAGGGGACACAGGACTCTTACCAATGGAAGAAAGGAAGAATATATGTGGAGTGCAGAAGACTCCCAGTAGTAGGGCACTTCATGCCCTGTTATTGAAATGGGAAACAACAAAAAACTAATGCAGGTAAGATGATACACATTCCCCCAGAACCCTCAGGAAGAAGGGTGTGGGTCACCCTGCCAAGTAAAGAACTAAGACCTGCCGAGGTGCTTGCTGTAGGTCAAGGTAATAAAGAACAGGTAGAAGATGGGAGTTACAAATACTAACTGCAGCCATGTGACCAGCTACAGGAAAGAACAGTGTAGTTTTTCGTTCCTATTTTGTTAATGTGCTTGTGCATATATACACATACATTAAGCCAGTGTGTTTGTTTTCTTTCTTTTTTTTTTTTTTGAATTAAGGCTTCTTTATTCTTTTTGAAAGTTTTACTGGGGTCACATTAGAAAGAACAGCTTTCTGAGAATCAGCAACTTAAGACTAAAACTTCAACTTTCAAAACACAGTTAGAAAAAATATAAGGAAGTCAGGCTAATTTTTCACAGCTAACTCCTTAGCTGCCATAGGAGCCAGGGACCTTCCTACAGGCCTGGAAAGTACCCAGCTGGGATGATCAATCTTTAAATTAACTTCAACAAATACGAAGGGCATGTTTATATTATTGCAAACCACATGACTTTTGGAATGAGATAGGTAAATTAAAAAGTATATATACCTATTTAGAAGCATACTCTACTATCATTTACTTTCTACCCAAATCACCCTACATTTATGTTAGATTCTCTTTATAAAAAATATTGCAAGTGGACCACTGGCCTCTGTCTTTATGGCAGCAATTTTTGTATCATCTTTTTTTTTTTTTAATGGTGGTTTTCTTTCTTTGTACCAAAACATTGGCAGACTTAATATCTGTTCTTAAGTATTCTTTGAACTATAACATTTAAGCTATGCGATGTTAGAAGAGTGATCTTCCCCCAGAGACAAACTCTGCCTTTTATTCTGGGGGAGGGAATTCATGTATTTCCATTTGTACACAGGAGAGTTGTGACATGTTAGGCACAACTGTAAACTTACTATTGTATTTGGAGACTAAAGGTGGTTTAAAGAGATGCATCTTGTCAAGTAGGCAGGGATGGTTGTGATTGTTAAGTGTGAAATAGATATAGGTCAGTAAATGTCTACTGGATTTGTGGAGCATCGTTCTGGGTGTGTCTGTGGATGACTGATGTGTGGACCACAAACTGAGGAGGGAAGACCCGCTCTGGATGTGGGTGGCACTGACCACTAGGCTTGTGTCCTGGATGGAATAAAAAGGTGAAAAAGGAAGTCTTCCCTTTTGCACCTTCAGAGGATCTCCAGTCTTTACCATTGCCGGTAGATGTTGCCCTCCAGTCCTTCAGGCTTCCAAAACAGACCCTTCAGCCTTCCTGTGCAGACTCTGACTTTCTGATGCAGACTTGCACTGGACTCTGCAGTGAGCTCCTGGATTTTGAACTTCCCCTGATCCTCCGGCTCCCAGCACACAGACAGGCACTGTGTACGCTACTCCCCAATTGTGCAGGTGGCCACTGTAAGGCTACTACTTTCTGTTAAACCTGTTCCTCTACTGAACCCTAATTGGCACAGGTAGGTCTGGAAAAAGGACCCAGATTCTGTCTCTAGGCATGGCCTATTTGGGATATTTCATATAAATGGAATCTCAGTACATGTGGATGTTCAGTGTCTGGCTTCCTTCACTCACCAAAATGTTTCCCAGGTTTATGAACATGCTACGTTGTAGTACTACTTCATTCCTTTCATTTTCAAAGTACCCCATCCACAAGCACCCAAATATAATCAAAGCCCACAGTCTGTAATGGATGATTTTGTTCCTTTTTTCCAGTACTAGCATTAACAAAATATTTAACATAACACATACACCACACAATTCATCCATTTAAAGTGTGCAATTTAATATTTTTTATTACTACCCACACCCAATTGGGCTACAATCACCAAACTCAATTTTAGAAATTCACTAGCCTGCAATCAAATGCTGCACCCTTAGTTACCACGCCCACATTTAATCTCCCTCCCACAATGCCAGGAAACCACTACCCTACATTCTGATCCCTGGATTTGCCTGTCCTGGGACATTTCATAGCTCGCAAATCTTATACCACGTGGTATCATTGTTTTCCTGGCTTCCTTCAGTCAACATAATGTTTTCAAGTTTTTCTATGTTTTGCCAGCATTAGCCCTGCATTCCTCCTTCTTGTCAAATATCATTTCATTATGAATAGCTCACATTTGTTTATCCACTCACGAGCTGGACATTTAAATGGTTTCCACATTTTGGCTTGCAAATAATGCTTCTCTGAACATTCATTTGTACTACTGGATGCATATTTCTCTTGAGTATCTAAGAGTAGAACTGCTGGTTACATGTTAGGGCTGGGTTTAATCTTCTGAGAATTGACCTGTCATTATCCATCCCCACAGAACAGGGGAGGGCTTCAATTTCCTCATTCTCAACAAGTTTGTCTTCAAGTCATCATTATCACTGTTACTAGTACCTCTTTGCCCTTCTCTACTGTTTTTACTTGTATAAATGTTCGGCACAAAGAGAGCAGACAGAGACTACACACACATCCAGGGTTGTCGTTCACCATCCTCAGCATCTTGTTCTAGGAGCCTCACAGGCTCCTCAGCTCTCCTTTACTCCACCCAGAAACCATGAGCTCAGTCAGACATGGGGTCTTGGTGCTGTCTTCAAGGACTGGCTCAAGGGTACTGTGCTGGGAGCCTGGGGGTATCCGTGTTTCTGCGAGAAAATGGAGCACTCTGAGCCTGGTGACCTAGCCTCAACCCAGCCAGCGTGTTCCTCTCAGGCTTCAGCAGGATGAGGTAGCACTTGGGGAGGAAGATGCCACCCAGCAGTCCTGCAGTGGAGGCCAAGATGGAGAAGACCTCCACAGCGACAGTGGCCTTGCCCCGTGCACTGTGGTACAGGGGTAGGAAGGCCGTCCAGACGCTGCAGAAGAGCAGCATGCTGAAGGTGAGGAACTTGGTCTCGTTGAAGGCATCCGGCAGGCCCCGGGCCAGGAAGGCCACAGAGAAGGTGCCCACAGCCAGGAGGCCCAGGTAGCCCAGCACACAGGAGAAGGCGACACCAGAGCCCTCCTGGCACAGGAGCACAAGGCGGCCTGCCTCTGAGGCTGTGTCACTGTGTGGGAATGGTGGGGAGGTGCCCAGCCGGATCCCACAGAGGACGACCTGCACCACCAAGGCACCCAGTACCACAAAAGAGGAGGTGTTGGGCCCAAGGCACATGCGGATTCTCTGTCCCGGCCTAGTGACCCTGAAGGCTAGGACCACAGTGAGGGTCTTGGCGAGGACACAGGACACGGCCACAGTGAACACCACAGCAAAGGTGGTCTGGCGGAGGAGGCAGGTGGTGGGTGAGGGGCGGCCAAGGAACAGCAAGGGACTCAGGGCACAGAGGGCCAAGGACACCAGGAGCACGTAGCTGAGGGCCCTGTTGTTGGCCCTGACCACAGGTGTGTCCCGGAACCTCAGGAATACCCCGAGGACCAGGCAGGCCAGGCCGGCCAGCGCCAGCGCCACCGAAGTCAGTGCAAGGCCCAGGGGTTCATCGAAGGCCAGGAAGGTCTCTGTCCTGGGAAGGCAGCGGTCTCTGGCCTGGCTTGGGTACTGCTCCTTGGGACACTGGCGACAGCTCTTCATGTCTGTGGGAGACACAAAAACACCACTTCAGACACACACAGTCTATGAAACCAACTCTGGAACATTTCCTGGCCACCAGGCCCTCTTAGGAGCAGTTTGCTTTCATTGCTGTCTTTATGAATTATTCTTAGTCATCCTTGAAGTGTGGTGACATTAGATTCAGAGGCACTAAGAAAAATGCTGCAGGACATACTTATTTTATGAGGATTGGACTGTTTTGTTTTTCTGTAGTATGGGGGATTCGATCTTTACACTGAGCCACATTTTCAGATTGTTTATTGTGATATACATCCTTACTAAGTCACTAAGTTGCCCAATCTAGGCTCAAACGTGCTATCTTCCTGCCTCAGCCTACCAGCATGTTCAGATTGCTGGTGTGCATCATCATACATGGTACCTCAATTGTTTTTATTTCAACAGTTAATTTTTCCCCAAGTAGTAGCTGTGACTGTCCTTATTACTAACTGTTTTGTGCTGAGTTGCATCCTTCAAAATTTATTTGTTGAAGTCCTTACCTCCAGTGCCTCAGAAGGCGATTGTACTTTAGGTAGGTAAATTAGACCCACGGTAATTAAGGTTCACTGAGATCACTGAGGTGGCCCTAACCCAGCATGCCTGGCATCCTCACAGGACCAGGGAACTGACATCCTGGTAAGCCAGCAAGTACACAGCAAGATGGCTGCCTGCAAATTCTGGAGAGAGGTTTCAAGAAACACTCTCCTTCAGACACCAGGATCTCACCTGGCCTTGGTGCAGTAGACATTACAGTGCGAGTGGAGGATTCCTCATGAGCACTATCCCCACCAGCCCTGTCTATGGGGTGTACTTCATTAAGAATAAATTTCCTTAAGAATAAATATGAAACTTGCGTCCTGGCCAGTGTCTCACAGAAATTCCACAGAGAACAAAGACTTCCCAGTGCCTCCTTGGTATGGATCCAAAGGCAGTGTAGCCTCTAAGCCCTGAGTCACAGTCACCCCACTCACCTCTCTGATCTGTAAACTGTCCCTCGGGGCAGGGCCGGCACTCAAAGCAGCAGTGGGGGGCTCCCTGCTGGGGGATCTGACTGGATCCTGGTTCACAGCTGGTGCTGCAGACAGAGCTGGGCACCTGGTAACAGTTTGCAGGGCGACAGCAGAGACCCTGTTGCTTGGAGCACAAGGGTGACTTGACCCAGCAAAGAGTAGGCAGGCATCCTCCCCACTGTAACAGGCAGAGTGCAGGGGGAATGTCCTCTCTGCCATCAGAAACGACATGCAGAGGGACCACACATGGAGGGACTGAGCACCTGCTAGAGAGTGTGCCCTGGCTGGCTGGCATGTGGGAGCAACACTCAGCAAACCCTGCACACCTGGCCTTTTCCATCACACTGGGCTGATACATCAGGAACTGGAGGTGATGGGCCCACATTACACACACATACTCCCATGATACAGCAGGGGTCATTTGTCATGTGGGACCTAGTGCTGCACCACAGTGCTGCACCCTCTGCCCAGGCACCACCTCTAGACAGGAGAATCAGGAGGGAGAGGAGTAGAGATACCATGGGGTGGGTGTTGGATGCCCTCTGGAGGGACCAGGAGCCCTCAGCTCACTTCCATTGAGGGGATAAGGGATCCTCTGACCTCACAGCTGTGTCGCTGAAAGGAGTCAAGGGCATAGCCCTGTCTCTTAGCAAATCCTGAAGCCATCATGATAGAGATACCTCTGGGTCAGAGACAGGACACTCTGCAGAAAAGTAGGGAGAATGGGTCCTGCACCAGAGCAGCTCCAGGCACCCAACCCTGACAGCAACAGCATGTGCTAGTGCATGACAGGACAAGGCCTGCTCTGCATGGGGTGGGCGTGGAGAGCAGAGCTGCGACCTCCCAGGTCTCCATGGGCCTCCCAAACTATGAGAGAGAATGGAGAAACAGGAGAGATGTCTCACACAAACCTAATTCACTCAACTACTGTGGCTCTCCCATTTCACTCTCTTTTTCTCTTTACTGAAGATTGAACCAAGAACCTTCCCACTCAGCAACATCAGGAAGACTTTTTTGTTTCTTTTTCTGAGTCAGGGTCTCATTAAGTTGCCCAGGCTGGGCTTCAACTTGAAATCCTCTTGTCTCAGCCTCCTAAGAAGCTGGGATGATAGGTATGCACCTTTGCACCCAGCTGGAGAGTTAATTTGGTTTTGATGGTGAGTAAATGCTTTTCCACATTCACAGAAGAGTCCACTAAGGACAAACACAATGGCTGAGCTACAACTGCCCTCATTTATAGCCACATTCACTTCATGGCTCCAACAGTAACAAGAACCCTGAACCCGAGTTTCCCCAAATCCAGGGCCCAGCCTGAGACCATTTGTGTGGCCAGGAATCTCACCTGCACACCATCTTTCAAGCGAATCATAATTCTGTCCTCTGAAGAGCGATGAGGGTCCATCGTGCCAATGCGGACAAAGTGGAACTGGCCCTTGGGGCTCTGTTGCCCTTGGAAAACATCATATGTTGTCACCAAGTCTCCATTGGCATCGAACATGATGTGGGTCCCATCAGGGGTCTGGAAGCGCACCTTCCTGAGGGGGTGAAGGAGCTGGGGAAGGAGGGAGACATGTAGCCTGGCGAGGGCGCCACCTGGGGATGGCAGGTGGACCTCCATGCAAGGCCATCTGGTCCCTTAGGCATATGGGGTACAGCGCCCCAGGAAAATGTTCCACCTATAACTTCAGGTAAAATCAAAAGAAAAATACAATAATGAACAATACTTAATAATCCATCAAGATACCCTTATCCTCATCAGGCTGCCATCAGTTAAATTTTCATTATCTGTGTTGTGGAGGTGAGCACCCAGGACCATCATGGCTGCTGTGCCATCCTGAGCCTCCCAACCCACTCGCTGCCCCATCTCTCGGGTGTGTGCCCTCTGCAGAAGGCCTTACCATCCACACTCAACCCCCACCCAGCCTTCCGATATTCCTGCCCAGCTGTTGCTTTTCCTGCACTCTTCTCCCATGCAGGGCATTTGCACAGGCTGCTCCTGGAGCCACCACTGTCTTTTCATGGCACAGGCTTCTCATAATCCTGGCTGGACTCAGATCCATCCTCACAGAAGCCTCACCTTCCCATCCTACCACTCACTCCCACAACTTCATCCACTTCACAGCAGTTATCACACCTTGTGAATTTCTAATCTGTCTGCCCTGCCCAACAGCCTGACAGCCTCACTGTCCCTCCATCCACAGCCCCATGTGTCTTTGGTATCCAACCAGTAGAGGCCGTGTGATCTAAGTGGAGGTCAAATCAGCATCCCCTTCCTTCCTTACCTCCCACTGTAGCCTCCCAGCCAGCCTGGTATCCCCAGAAGACACATGTGGACTCTGGGTCAAGCACATCCACCTGCACCCACAGAGGGTGGAAAAGACATGCTTTGTGGCCTCCCTGGCCTCCCACCTGTCCGAAGTTGGCAGTTCAGAAAAACCAGACATCACATGATGAAGAGGAAGGTTAAAAACCCAAACCTTACAGACACTTATGTTGCTTGTCTCCAGCCAGTAGCCTGATTACCAAAGGCAAATGGGCCCACACCATCTGGGTTCTACAGAAGAAGTCAGAGAGGACCCTACATCTGAGCCTTCCCCTCGGGATGGATACAAAGGCCCAATCCGGTACCACCTGGGTCATGGTGAGTAGGAGAAGCCACAGGTTAATCCTTGAGTGTCCTCAGGCACGTAGAGGTGGAGGGAGAGGACAATGACACGGTTACCTGCAGTGGGGATGGTCTCCAGGATAAAATATATTTGTAGAGAACAAGTTTAACAGAATGTATCTTTGTCTGTAACACTGAGGAAGAGCTAAGCAGAGGACCCCATATGTGCACAGCCTGGATATCCAGAAGAAAACTGGCCAGGAGTGCAGCTAGAAGAAACCAAGAGGGTAAGAAGGCTTGGGTAACTTGGGGACTTATCCAGACCTTGTCTCAAAATAAAACAAAAAATGACCTCTCCCTCAATCCACAGAAGCATGACTCTTTTTAGTAAAAGTGTAATTCATCCTATACTTGAAACACACTTATCCTAAAACTTATTTTTATCAATTTAAACACAGAAAGCTTTATTTGTTGAATTTCAAATTTTAAAAAATGACTCATAACGGGATATACTGCCAGTACTGAGAGAGACTGAGTCAAGAGGATTCTAAATTCTAGACTAAAGTAGGAAACATAAGGAGACATTGTCTAAAAATAAATAATAAAAAGGACTGGAAATTGAATTCAAGCATAGAGCATTCCAGAGTTCAATCCGAGGTATCACAAAAGAAAAATGTCTTCTTAGTACAAACATAATGTATTTAATATTTGGGACACATTTGTCCTAAAAGTTTCTTGCTATTATCTCACATTCAAGTTTGAAACATGCATATATACTAAACACCATTCACTGGTTACCTAAACTCAAATTTTGAAAATATATCAAAAATTCAATTCAATGAAGATGTGAATATTGAAATTCACCAGGCATCTTGTATTTACTAAATTGACTCACCCCACAGGGATGGGACAAATTGCAGCCCACATAGCCAGCGTGGCCCTGAGACTCCTGGTCCAGTGCTCCCCCCAGATGTCTCTGGGCTTCAGGCACAGGTGTCCTTACAGCTCCACAAAGATTGTCCAATATCCCTTCCCTGTGACCCCACTCACCTGCCAGGGCTGGAAGTGCTTGGGGTCTGTGCACATGCCATCCCCATGTTCACAGGACACCAGGTCCTGCAGGGCATGGGCTACACTGTAGACGGCTGTGTATGCAATGTCCACTCTACTCACGTCTTGGAAAGGATGTTCATGCCCTCTCAGACTCTCACTACCTGAGCACAGCCGTACTTCTCCTGACACTGTGCCATTCGCATGCAGCCATCTGCACCCAAAGGTGGCCTCCCAAAACCTCCCCAGGAACATGTCCTCTGGGGTCCGATTTGGGTGTAAGCTGGCAAAAAACTCAGGGAATCCATGTACCCGGCTACTGTGCCGCAGAAGGCCAAATGTGCCCCGCAGTACCTGAGAGATGCCAGGCATGGCCAGGGCAAGTGCCGTGTGCAGGAGGCCCTCACTGACCCAGACCTGGCCCAGGAGACTGAAACCCAGCAGGCTCTGCAGGATAAGCTTGAAATTGGAGTTGCTCAGGAAGACCAGGACCCCCGTGGCAGTGCTGGTCTGCATCTTCTGAACCACAGCGTTGATCTTCTCAGGGGAATGCTGGGAAGGGACTGGGACGTGGAATTCGATGCAGATGTCTGCCTCTCCCAGTTCTCTAGCAGCTAGAGCACCAGCCTGCTGCCCAAAGTCATCATCTTGGGCCAGGATGATGACCCAGGACCATCCCAAGTGCAGCACCAGCTGGGTTACAGCATAGGAGGACTTGAGGTCACTGGCCAGGGTGCGCAGGAAGGATGGGAACTGGGTCTTGTCACTGAGGCTGGGCAGTGTGGATGCATAACTGACCTACAGGGAAGAGCAGGGCACAGGAAAGAGGACAAGAACTCAGATACAGGCTTGTTGCAGGTCTGAACTCAGGATACAGACATAGTGAGGACAGGGGAAGGGGCCAACTCATCCAGGTGCCCTGGACATCCTCCCAGATTTGTCCCTCTAAGAACCACATCCCATGGTCATCCTCAGTCCTGGGCAGTGAAGCAGCTGGTCACATAGCTCAGACCAGAGCTAGGATTCCTTCCTCCCTTGAGAGACACAAGGGCAAGACACAGACGACCAGTTGGAATCAAAACCCAAACCCAACATTATACTGCCTGGAAGAGAAACACCTCATCCACAGAGACACACAAAGACTAGAAGTGAAAGGATAGGAAACCATACTCTCTACAGCCAGAGTCCCAAAGCAAGGAGGAACAGTTACTCTAATCTTCAAAATAAAACTGATCACAATAGATGAAAAATTTATATTAAATAGTAAGATAATATTAAACATTTGTTCAAAAACCCAACTCTTCAATTCGTTGATTTTTTTGTATCATTCTCTTAGTCTCCATTGCATTGATTTCTGCTCTGATCTTTATAATTTCCACCCTTGTTTGAGCTTTGGGTTTGTCTTGCTCTTCTTTTTCTAGGAGCTTAAGATTCAGCATTAGGTTGTTTATTTGACCTCGCTCTATTTTCCTACTGTGGGCTATGAATTTTCCTCGTAGAACTGCTCTCATTGTGTCTTATAAAATCAATAAACCCTTAGCCAACCTTATCAAAAATAAGGAAAGATCCACTGCCTGCCTCGCAAGTGCAAGGACCCAAGTTTGATCCCCAGTACCAAAAAAAAAGGAAAGAAAAGGCTCAAACGCATGCAATTAGGAACAAAAAAGGTGAAGTCACACCAGATCCAGCAGAAATCCAGAGGATCATCAATACCTCCTTCGAGAACCTGTACTCTAATAAAATGGAAAACACAGAAGAAATGGACAGATTTCTAGATACATATGAATTACCAAAGTTGAACAAATAAGGTATAAAAATTCTAAATATCCCAATTACAATCAGTGAAATTCAAAACATAATTAAAAATCTACCAACAAAGAAAAGTCCATGTCCTGATGGCTTCACTGCTGAATTCTACAAAACATTTAGAGAAGAACGACTGCCCTACTCTTTAAACTTTTCAATGAAATTGAAAGGGAAGCAATACTTTCAAATTCATTCCTGGAAGCAAGTGTTACTTTGATTCCAAAACCATGGAAAGACCCAACCCAAAAAGAGAACTACAGGCCAATCTCCCTAATGAACATAGATGCAAAAAATCCTCAATAAGATACTGGCAAACAATACAGAGGGTCATCAAGAAGATCACACACCCTGCCCAAGTCAGATTTATCCCAAGGATGCAAGGATGGTTCAACATACATAAATCAATAAATGCAATACATTATATTAACAGAGTAAAGGACAAAAACCATATGATCATCTCAATTGATGCAGAAAAAGCATTCCACAAAATTCAACACCCATTCATGATAAAAATCTTGCAGAAAATTGGAATAGATTTTCTTTACCTCAACTTGATAAAGGCTATCTATGAAAAACCAACAGGCAACATCATACTAAATGGTCAAAATCTGAAAACCTTCATGCTAAAATCAGGAACAAGACAAGGATGTCCACTATCATCACTCCTGTTCAATATAGGCCTTGAAACATTATCCACAGCAATTAGACAAGAGAAATAAATAAAAGGAATAAAGATAGGAAAGGAAGAAGTTAAACTGTCATTATTTGCTGATGATATGATACTCTATATAAAAGACCAAAAAAACTCTGCCAAAAGACTTCTAGACTTAATAGACAGATTCGGTAGAGTAGCTGGATACAAGGTCAACACTCAAAAATCAATAGCCTTCTTGTACACAAATGTACACACATGGAGACTAAATATTACATTGATGGTGACCATGGTTGCCACACTGATCATGATAAAAGCCACCAAGGTGTTCACCTTCAATGGGTGAATTTATGCTACACAAATTACATCTCAATTCCTCTTTTAAAAATAAGAACTGCAACATGTGGCAGAACATGTGGCAGCCTGACATGGCCACTGTTTTGGGAATAACATCAAGGGCCTGCCATTGAGCAACAATGATGGGATAGAGGTGAAGCTGGTGGCCTGATCCAGTTGCCTAGATTCGAACCCCAGCTCCAGCTCCTCCTGGCTGGGTGAGCTGGGACAGTAACTGAGTTTAATCCAAAACTTTCTGCTCACCCATGTGGTGGGATCCGAGGTCTCCCATCACAAGGTGCTGTGGAGGAGAGCAGAGTGGTTGGAATGTGACAGCAGGGAGCTGCCCAGAGCAGAGTAGCTCAGAGTCACCATCCCCTCAGCCTCACTGCCATCCTCCCTGGTTGCAGAGGGACAGGGCTGGGGAGGACTCACCTGGGGAAACTTGTAGAGCCCCAGCAGCCTGGCCATGGCCACAGACAGAGCCGAGCGTGTGTCCCCCACCAAGGCAACCCGGGGTGGACCAAACTGGCACACATAGTTGGGGACAGGATCCTCCTGGCCAGTGAGGAAGGACAGGGTCTCATGCAGGGCCCTGTGAATGGAGTCCCCGGAGTTGCGGATGGAGAAGCCCAGAGTCAGGTTGGGCAGCAGGCGGGTGCTCCTGTTGATCTCCTCGACAGCAAAGACGAAGCTCTGGGCCACCCGGTAGCCCCAGCTGGACACGCTGAGGAGAGAAGCACAAGGACACAGTGGGCAGAGGGCAGCTGGGGCAGGCGGGCACAATCAGCGATGCCTGTGCGCATGCCACACATAGGACAGGTGATGACATGCATCCCCACGGAACCTGTGCACAGATGTGTTTGGCAGCATCATTAGAAGATAACACAGGGGTGGGAGACAGGATCAGCGGTACCAGAAACAGGGACAGAAAGTGTCATCAGTAGGGCAGGAGGATTGCGTACTGGGGTCTAGTGCACAGCATGGGTAACTGTACTGCATGTGAATTGATGTGTATTTTCAAGTCGCTCAGTACAAATTTTTTTTGTGTGTGTGCCAGGGATCGAACTTGGGTCCTTGCACTTACAAGGCAGGCGGTGAAACCACTGAGCTAGATCCCCAGCCCTCAGTATAAATTTTAAATGTCCACACCACCTAAAATGATAACTATCTGATATCATGGATACATTGACCTTCATTTAATCATTCTATCATGTGTGTATATATGTGTGTGTGTGTGTGTGTGTGTTTCACATTTTACTCCACAAAATTATTATGAATTTTTAAAATAACATGAAGCAGGGTGTACTGGTACACACACGTAATCCCAGCACTCTCTGAGGCTGAGGCAACAGGGTCACAGGTTCCAGCCCATGCAGGGAACATAGTAACTTAGGGACAACCCATCTCCAAATTTAAAGGCGGGGGACTTGGTGAGATTGTAGCTCAAAGCAAACCCCTGGTTTCAATTCTAGGGGGAGGAAACACATTACAATACCAGTAACAGTCACAGTGGAACAATGTAAGTCTCACTGGCTTCATATTGCACTGCAAAGTGCTTCAGTTATTTCCACAACTTTTTATCAAAGCTAAATACATTCACTGTTTACAAACAAAGAGCCAAAGTGCTGCACTGGGTCCTGCAGGACAGAAACAGGCATAGGAATACAGGCAGAGGAGCCCTGGCCACAGCTCATTAAGTTGTGCATTAACCCGGATTTACTTAGTCAACAAGAACACTAACCTCTCACCTGACCCTGTTCTCAGCACCAGGGGTGAAGAAAGACAAGAATCAGTGCCCAAGCCTGGACTCATCAGCTCAGTCACCGCACTTGAGTATAAGCCCATCCAGAGAGAGATGCACAGAAAGTGCCCCAAGCACAGGGAGTCTTGAGAAGGCAGGCACAGGCCAGGGTTCTGGGATTGGCCCGCCACAGCTTTGGGGACCCCAGACCCCACTCACCCTGAAGAAGGCAGCCCCGAGGGTGGCACCATGAAGTCCATCAGGTGGACATCATGGAAGTGCAGAATAGAGAAGCTGCCACCCAGCACCATATCCCCAAGACGCTCAAATCGGGGACTTCTGCCTGGCAACCGCCAGCGCATGGGCCCTGGAGCCACCAAATGTACACCAGCTAGCATGACCAGCAGTGCACACAGCCTCATGCCCGTACTGGCTGCAACCAGAGCAACTTCAAGCCTGCACAGCTACAACCTGGGCCACATTAGGTCTGCAGGGATAGACGGCCTGGCTTTTATTACAATGCCCCTCACCTGGGACCACTAAATCCAAGGGCCATTAAAAGTCCTTTTGCTTTCTGGCTCCCTAACCCCCTACAAGGCCAAAGCTCGGGGCATCTTCTGTAGACCTCAGGGAGTGAGGTAGTTCCAGCTGCATGGAGGACCCATGGGTGGCTTCACAATGAGTCTGGAGATGGGGTGTCCCTAGAGCTGCAGGTGGCCCCAGCCCCAGGCGAGTCCCAAGGGGCAGGGCACAGATGCAGGGCTTTGGGTCAGACAGCCCTGGTCCTGGGAGGAGCTGGGCTGTAATGACCTGGGACAGAGCTGGAAGGTCAGGCTTCTGGCCCAGGAGCTGGGGCAGCAGCTCTGAGCAAGAGGAAGACACCCAATGTCATCCCCATAACAGGGCTGAGTGGACACATGGTCCTGCCCAGGTCACACCATGCTGTGCAAGGTCAACTGTGCAGCAAAGCACTGAACTGAAAATGCTGAGCATCTTGTACAATTCAGCAGGATCTGGGTCTCTATCAATGGGGACCAAGCAACATCCCTAACCTAACAACAAACACCTGAAGACGTCACCCAGCATTCCTCCTTGCATGAGAATTGCATACAAGGGGTAAGGAGGAGAATCAGCCCAAATTAAAACCAGTACCCCAGGGAACCCAGACTTCTGGCCTGGGCTGAGCTCACACACCACAGCTCTCAGACTGGACTCACACAGACAAGGGTGGGCACGGGGGCAGCCACCCCTCTGCAGGTCTCAGGACCAGGCTTCCTCGACCATCACAACCTAACCCTAGACACTGTCATCACCCTAAAAGGAACCCCACTTCCTGCCCTTCTGGTCCCTGGTCACTGCAGCAGTTCTGCCTTGAGATGATTTTTTTTTTTTTTTTGAAGCTGGGTTTTGTGTTAGATTTTTTGGAGAACTAAGGTTTCCTCTGTTTGCAAAACGTCTGGAAACCTCCACCTGCTCCTGCCATCCCCTTGTGGATCTAGGGGTCTGTGGGGTAGGAGCTGTCCCTCCTGACTCTAGGACACAGTAAATCGAGGTTGTCTAAGGGCCACTTCCCAAGGGAGTCAGAGAGTTATAAATGCATAATGAGCCACCACTGCCCTGAAGACCAAGCCAATTCCAACTCCTGAGAACAGGACTCAGGGGACCATCCACAGCAAGGCCTGCCTCACAAGGAGAATAACAGCCCTGGGCACACACAGCCCTCCTGGGCCAGCAGCCAGCAGGTGACAGAGGCCCAGCTGGGCCCCAGCACAGGTGGCCTCCTCTCCTCCAATGACTCTTTCCAGGCCATGTTAGTTTCTTCCAGGTGGTGCACTATTCCCTGTGCTGCCACTCGCAGCCGCTCCTGAGAGCCTCCACCACTGACTTCTTCTCTCTCTCTGTGCCTAGGACACTGGGATAGGCACACAGGCTTTCAGCACACAGCTGCCCAGGGAATGGGCGGGCTCTGCCACCTAAAGCCCGACCTCTGTTCCTTCGTACTACTCAGCTCCTGCTTCCTCCTGCCCCGCAGCAGCCCCACACTGCTCTGTTCAGGGCTGTGCTGTCTCCCTGAATCCTTTTCTCACACCAGATCTGAAGTCTAGTTTTTAAAATAAATACTTTAAATATATGTCCCCTGTATACTTTTACAATACACTAAAACAATGATACAATGTTAGTTATTTAAAAAGAGATTTGGTATTAGAATTAAGTATAGCTACGTTCCAAATATATCTTGAAACATAATTAAAATGTACTATTTGCACCTAACATGGTACTTGGTACTCAGTATAAGCATACCTCAGATAGACTATTGTGACAGTTACTCTAAAAATTTATTCATCATTTATCTGAAATTTATATTTAAATAAGAATCGTCTTGTTTTTATTTGCTAATTTTGGCAACCCTATTCTCTATATATTACACCCATATTTGTATTTAAAATTACTTATATGAGCTGGTCACAGTAACAACTCCTAAAATCTCAGCACACAGAACACTGAGGCAAGCAGATCCTAAGTTTGAGGCCAGTCTGTGCAACTTGGTGAGTTCAAAGTCATCCTGAACAACATAAGCAAACCCTATTTCAAAAAAAATACAAACAAAATTTTTAAAATCAAAAATTAGGGCTGGGGATTTAGCTCAGTGGTTCCACTGCCTGCCTCACAAGCTCAAGGTCCCGGGTTCAATCCCTGGTACCAAAAAAAATAATACTAATAAATCAAAAAATAAAAAGTATTTATATATTTAAAATATTTTAAATATAGTAAATATGGGACACATTGGTAATTTTAAAAGTATTTATTGTTGATCTGGAATTTAAATTTAACAGGGCTCCCTGTTTTTTATTTAATCTCGCAGCAGTACTCTGGGGCACTTAAACTAATTACTCGAACACTTAAGTGATATTAAACTAATATATTTTAAGGTTTTCAATATATTAATACACTAGTATCCAAAATTTAAATCTCACTGGGTGTCATGGGTTTTAATACACTATTATCTGAAATTCAGATCTCATTGGGTGTCATGGGTTTTGTTTTATTTGTTGTTTGAGGCAAGGTCTTGCTATACGCCCCATCCGGGGCTCCAACTTTCAAACATCCTGCCTCCTCCTGTCTTCAACCTCCCAAAGCTGATATTATAAGTGTGTGTCACCATGCCCATCCGTAGGGAGGGAGGGAGAGAGAGAAAGAGACGAGAGATAGATAGATAGACAGATAGATAGATAATGATGATGATGATGATGATGATGATAAGATTTTTTTAAGCCAACAAGAGGGAGTTTAACACTGCCCCTATAAGCACAGAGGGCAGCATAGGTTCCATTCCTTCTTTACAGTGTTTGAGATTTTACCAAATTAAAATTTTTAACATGTCAACTAAATGTGACCCTTAAGTTAGGCTTTTGGGCAGAAGCTAATAGAATAGGGGGAAATGCCGAGAAAAGCACATGGGGAAGGTGCAAGGTAAACTTGCCACACAGAGGCAGGGCAACCAGTCTACTTACAAAGTCCAAGGGATACTCTACAGAAAGGCAGTGGGGGGGGGGCGGTTAGGAAGGGATTGCGGTGACAAACCCCACGCGGCGCCTGACACTCCCTCTGCAGCCGCGATGCTAAGGTCTGGGTTTTTAGTCCGCGTCTGCAGAGCACGATTGCACTCATCCCGGGAGTCGGTACCTGCAACGCACAGGTCCTGCACCTGGAAGTGCTAAATCTGGGAAGTCTATGGTGAGACACACTTTTCCTAAACATATTTATGTTTACATTTTCAACAGGCATAGGAGAGTCACGTTTCTAACGCGCGGCTCCCAGGGACCAGGACTTGACAGGGTGACCGCACTCAGCGACGCCATTTGTTGTCACAGGGAAGGACCCTACCGCCCGGCGGTGCTCCCGAGGAGGAAAGACGAAGGAGTAGGAACCCAATTGGCGGCTTCGGATTGGTTCTAGTACCTCTTTGTCGTCCTCTCCAGGGAGTCCTGGCTGCCTGACGTAGGCCATAGGCGGAACCCCTCAAACCGCCATTGGTGTCGGGCCGCGCAAGGAGCGCCGGGAACTGTGGCCAGCCGCGCGCAGGCTGCTGGGAGATGCTAAGTGCGCGTCGCACAGGGCGCTAGGAGTTGTTTGTCCATTATAGGGGGGCGCCTTGGGACCCGGAAGTTGCAACGGATAGCAGTTCCAGGGATGCTGAGCGTTGTCTCCATTCACCGTGCGATGTGTGGTCACCCAGGAGCCTCAGAGCTTGCCCACTGGCAACAGGGATTTGGTAGTTGAGTTCACCCGTGGCCGTACTGGGAGTTGTAGTCAACAACTATGCGCGAGGATGCTGGGAGTTGTGGTCAGCCACAGCGCGAGGGATGCTGGGAATGGAGTCCAGTCCGCGTCCGCACACGCTCCCGTTAGAATTCACCACTCGGCCAAGCAGTTTTTGTGGCCTGGCCATTTATCTCTCCTTAGTCAGAGCTCCCGTGTGGCCTGGTGCCGCGCGGTAGTGCATAAGAATCAGGTTAGGCTGGGGTCCCTAGCGCCGTGGAGTAAGCGGAGCCGAGAGCCCTCCCAGTCCTCTCGCTGGGCCTGCGACACAGCGCGGGAAATCCTGGTTATTTTATCACCGTTTCTTTGGAGACTACACTGCAGCTGAACGATAAACCTGAGGTAGAACATTAACCGGCGTCGCTTGCAACCCCACGCCCTGCTCAGCGTCCTCCCCAACCTCCTCCCCGTCTAATCAGTTCGCCACTCAGTTCCCTGCTCAGTGGCACAGGGAACCGTTCGCAAGTTCGCAAGGCCCTTCAGTGAGGCCGGCCCCGGAAGCACAGGGGTGCCCTAACTGCCTGTGTCAGGAACCGAACTCGGGTTCCGAAGGCCTTCTGGAGTCCTGTTTCGGCACCAACCTGCGCAGGCGTAGTCCCCGCCGGCGCAGGGTACAAGGGGCAGACTGCCTGTGCGCTGCCCTCTGGGAGTTGTAGTTCTGTGCCGCTAGCGCAATCCCTGCTGCTGTGGGATGAGGCCAACGTCCTACCATCTACCGGGAAACGCGGAAGAGAGATAGCCTGGCTGGTCACAAAGGCCTTACCCAGATTCTGAGCCTTGCTGGCCACGGTTGGAGGGCCCAGGCTGGGTCGTCGTGAGCGCGCGAGCGGCCGGAGGTGTGCGCGCAGGCCTCTGGGAGATGTTGTCCCGCTCACGCAGGCGCAGTCCCAGCGCGTGGCGGGGCGGCCTTTGTTTCGCGGTTAGGCTGGTAAGTGAGGTGGGTAGGACTGGAAGGAGGAGGAAGCCCAGCTGTGCGGGTACCCAGGCTCTTCCTGAAGCCCCTGCCGGGGTCGGGTTGCGTGCCAGCCATGCGTTCTGCGTTCAGATCCTTTTGCTTTTTTAGGCTGAATGTGATTTGTCGCTGGGGGGCGGGGCCGAGAGGCGGAGCCCGATGCTCTGGGTAGGATCTGGTTACCGAGTCGGGTCTCAGGGTCTGAGACGAGGCGCCGGACAGGGGTCTGGGGAGAGTGGGGTTCCCTGCCTTGCGGCACAGGCCTGATCCTTCAGCGGCTGCACCCCGCCTGACCTGCATCCCCTGCCTTAGTGGGACATCCAGAGTTGAGGGATGGTACAGGCTGAGACCCCATCATGGAGTCATCTCTCAAGCCTGCAGCTTACTGCGAAAAGAGAGTGGGGGATACCGAAAGCCCAAGATTTTTAATCCCACGTTTCAGAAACCGCCAAAACAGCCTTATCATTAAACTCCCATTGAGTGTTGACTGAGTCAGGTACCTTCATGAGTGCGGCAAACGTGTTTGGATGTCCTGGGCCCAGGAGCCCCGCGCCCCCCCATCCCCGGTCTGCCACCCGTATCCCACTGAGGGTGGACAGGGAGACATCAGAAACCCAAAATACATATTTAAAGAGATAAATCCACTCCTAGAAACTGCAGTGAAGATGGTGATCAGGCTGAATTGTTAGTATTGGGCAGGATCCAGGGCGGGGGCTCACCTTACCTCTAAACTAAAAGTCTTTTCGGGAGTCAGCCGGCTCCCATGTGTGGTAGACAGTAAGCAGATGATCACTGAAGCACAAGATTTCCCTACCACCAGTTGCCACAGTACATGCTCACTGCAGCTGGGTTCCATTGTTTGCTTTTTCCTTACTTTTGTTCCTGTAATTCCTGCCAAGACCACCTAGGCTAGGTGCTGGGTCACCACCCCCACTTTATGAGGGTCACAAAATGATGCCTGGGATCACCAGAGCCATCTGGCTTCTTGTCAGTAACAGAATCACCCTGGAAATCACCTGTACAGCCAGAGGATGTACCCACCAGGCCCTCAGTATCCTGGTCTGTGGAATAGGGTGGGGAGATTCAAGATCAGCCTCAATGCCACGTGAAATGACACCAGGCACACAGCATGCACTCACAAAGTACCAAGCCGAACATCCACTTACATTCAGTTTGTCCTGGGTGTGGGTTCCAGGGTCCCACAGTTACAGCCCCTTTCTTCCACACTGAGGCCCGAGGTTTAGCATCTCTGGTCACTGCAGAAGCCAGCCTGGCCTCACAGCACCTTTCCCCCAAACTAGAGCAGGCTGTTCTACAAGAGGCCAGAAAAGCAGGGAATGACCCCTGGGCTCCTCACCACCAGGGCCCCCAATAAATATGCCACCATCCTCACCTGCCCAGACTTCAGGTCGAACCTGCCTTCTTGCAGCCCAGGCCTTTGCCCTCACTGTCCCCCATCCAGGAGCATTACCCAGCTCTACACCTATCTCCAGGCTGCTGTTACTTTGGCTGTAGCTGCTTACCTCAGGCAGGAGAATTTATCAAATATGAATTTATTGGCTCTCAGTTCCAGAGGTAGGAAACCCAGGGTGCTAACTGGTTTGGCAACTCTGATTCCAAGATGGCATCGTGAATGGGGCCTCTGCACTCCTTTCATGATGGCATTTATCCCACCCGTGAACCTGCCAGAAAAAACCAGCCTCTGGGAGTGTTAGAAAACATGGAGGTATAATAATCAGAAGTGCCCCGTGACCATCCTAGCCTTTCTCTGCAGATTGTATTGTTCCCCAACATTTAAATGTCCAGAATCAAGGACCAGGAGACAGGACTCCCCTGGGGCCCACTGGAAGTAGATTTCTCCAGAGCTTCCTGGTGACAATGTAGTATGGTTGACACCTTGGTCTTTATCCTGAGACCTGAGCAGAGAACTCAGCCTTACTGTGTTGGAGTTCTGACCTAAGAACTAAAAGGCAGAGGTGGAAGACACTCTGGAGCAGTTTATTATCAACAGTAGATAACTAATAACAGGTGGAGCAGTGAGTCTAGGTTTTGAGTCATGGCTCCTTAGCATAGCCATCTCATTTAGAGATGTTTTTTAATTTCTTACTTTTTTTTCCAAGGGCTTCATTTCATTAATTATGTGTTTACAGGTTGACCATGCCTAGTCTGAAAATCTAAAGTCAGAAAGTTTTAAATCTTGGAGCATGTTGGATTTTCTGATGAGGATGCCCAACCTGTAAAGTCTAAACAAATATTCCAGACTGAAATCAGAAACACTTCTGGTCCCAAGCATTTCAGGTACCAATGTGCAGATAAAATTTTGACCTGCAGTGGCAGACCGGGGTCCAGCTGGGCAGTTTTGCAGGTGTTCCTCTCCCCACTGCCCAGAGACAGCTGCCCACCACAAGGACACCTCCTGAGAGGCACAGTTCTTGGTGAACCTAGCATGCCCATGATGGTGTACACTTTGTTATTAATGCCCCAGTACCATTTCAAGAGACTTCTCTAGACTGTTAGAAGACATGGTATAACCTATTATCTCTTTAAGCTGCTGCCCCTACCTGTATACTTCAGGTCTCCAGGTCCTGTAGGAAAACCTGACCCCCAGTGCTGGGGATTTAGCTCAGTGGTTCTGCCTCCTGCTTTGCAAGCCCAAGGTCCCAAGTTCAATCTCCAGTACAAAAAAAAAACAAAAAACCTGACCCCGACGCCCAGCTGACATTCTACTTGCCAGCCCTCCACTAGCAGCCAATGGCAGGCTTGGCTCAGCGGAGGACACTTGCTTGTTTCAGAAGCAAGTGTCCCTTGACTGACTTTACCCAGGAGGAGTAGGGAAAACTGGAGCCTGCCTAGAGGACTCTACTGTGATGTGATGCTGGAGACCTTCAGGCTCCTGGTGTCTGTGGGTAAAGCTACACCCATGACCCTGATGGTCTTCTCATAGCATGGGTTCAAATTTTCCTGGGTTAAAGATGGAGGTTGGGCTCTACTTTAAGAGCAAATGCCTGAGCTGTGTCTTGGGCTTCAGGAACTTGAACATTGTAGTGTAGGAAACATTAAATACAATCCATATTAGTAAGTCCCAAACCCAGAAGCAGAGAAACACAGGGTGAAGGAGACATACTGAGCCCTGTTTGTAGAGGCCCCAAACAGACCCAGGTCTTCTAAGGTGTTCTCAGGAACCTCCCCACTCCTGTTCTTTGCCTTCTTTCTATATATATCTCTGTTGTAGTCTGTTCAGGCTGTTGTAACAGAGGAGTGACTGGGTCATTTATAAGCATTAAAAATGTGTTACTCAGGGGCAGCCCAGGTCCTGACAGACAACAATCCATTCCCCTTGTTCAAACAGTGGCCCATTGCCAGGTCCCTGAAAGATGGCCAGGGTGGGAGAGCGCCACAACAGAGTTCCCCGCTGCACTAACAGCCAACTCTCACACACTATGTTAGCTTCCTGATGCTGCTATAACAAATTACCACAAAGCTTTTGGCTTACAGCAGAGTATATTCTGAACACCAGGAAATGGGTCTTCCTGGCTGTGATCAGGATGTCCTGAGGGCAGGTTTCCTTTAGGAGGCTACAGGGAAGAATCCACTGTTCTCCATTTTCCAGCTTCAAGAGGCTGCCCACATTTCTTGGCTTTTGGCCTTGCCCTGACTGCCTCTCTCTCCACATCTAAAGACCCTGGTGGCTTGGGCCAACTGGGTGATCCAGGATCGTCTATCATGTCAGATGATTAACAACCATAATTGCTCCTTGCCATGTACAGTAACATATGTACACTGGGGTCACAACATGGATATTTTTGGGAGCCATTACTCAGCTACACCAGCTTAGCCTTGTTCTATTGGAGCTTCACATGATCATGGGGACTGTGCCTCATCACCTCTCCTGGCCATTACAGTGTCAGAGTGGGAGCAGCATGCAGCTGTACAGAGAGGGCTGCAGCCAATCCTGCCCAGGAGGAGGAAGAGCATCTGGTTCGTTCAGTACATCTGTTGAGTTCTTGTGGGCTGAGAGTGCAGCAGATACCAAAGTGGACAGAAGCTCCTCCCCTCCGAGTTCCCAGTTAGCAGCAGAAAAAAACAGGGTAGAGCACTCTAATACACCTAGGCCATTTGTCCCTCTTCCTAGTGAGGTACACTAGCTGGTGTAGATTGGTGATCCAATGGTTTCTTGCCACCTGAGTGAGGTGGTACAACAGTCCTGTGCTAGCCAGAAGACACTGGACAGGCTGCACAGAGCAGTCCTTCAAATGTGGTGCTCTTTCCTGCTGCCATAGAGCATGGCAGAAGCTCCCAAACCTGGTGCCTCTGTGGGCATCTGTGGATGTGTTTCCCTAGCACTGTCTTTCCCCACCCTCCTCTCTGCTCCCCTAGAAAATTCTAGCCATACCCGATACCACCCCTTCTCCTTTTCTGTTTCACATGTAAAACCATGTTTTTAAAGACATCAGTTTAATTCTTCTATCCCTACCTTACAAACTACAAACTCTTCCCCCAAAACAGGGATTAAGAGAGATTTCCATTTTGTTTGTTTCTTTCAGACTTGGAAACCAGACAAGACACCAAACTGTCAGCCCCAAACCGAGACATCTCTGAAGAACTGTCCCACAGTGCTGTTCTGGTGGAAAGATTCCGGGGGTGGGGGTGGGGGGGCTTGTGGCCCAGGGGCAAGGACACAGAGGGTACCTGGAAGTGGCAGCTTGGATGCCTTGTGAGCCCCAGCGTGCAGGCAGCTTTTGTGCCAATAAAGACACCCACGCACACGGGAGGAGAGGGGAATGGGCTTGGGGACAACCTGAGTCTGGGCCCCAGGTTCCCAGGTCACCAATGACTCCTGAGAGGCACGGCCCCCATGTGTGGGGGACACATGGAAGGGGAGAAGCTAGACACCAAGGTAAGTTCTCAACAGAAAACCTGTGCAAAGGAGAAATTCTATAAATGCCAGGAGTGTGGCAAGGCCTTCAGCCATAGCTCGGCTCTCATTGAACACCACCGAACACACACAGGAGAGAGACCTTACGAGTGTCCCGTGTGTGAAAAAGGCTTCCGAAACAGCTCAGCACTTACCAAACACCAGAGGAGCCACACTGGGGAGAAGCCCTACAGGTGTGCTCAGTGTGGAAGGACCTTCAACCAGATTGCCCCCCTGGTCCAGCACCAGAGGACACACACAGACGAGAAGCCCTATGCATGCCACGAGTGCGGCAAAGCCTTCAGCTTCAGGTCATCCTTCAGCCAGCATGAGCGGACTCACACAGGCGAGAAGCCTTACACGTGCCAGGACTGCGGCAAGGGCTTCCGGCAGAGCACCCACCTCACCCAGCACCTGCGCACACACACTGGGGAGCGGCCCTACCACTGTGGGGACTGCGGCAAGGCCTTCAGCCACAGCTCATCCCTCACCAAACACCAGCGCATCCACACAGGTGAAAAGCCCTATGCATGCCGCGAGTGTGGCAGGGCCTTCACCCAGATCACACCACTCATCCAGCACCAGAGGACGCACACTGGTGAGAAGCCTTATGAGTGCAGTGAGTGTGGCAAGGCCTTCAGCCAAAGCACACTACTGACTGAGCATCGGAGGATCCACACAGGAGAGAAGCCCTATGGATGCCATGAATGTGGAAAGACCTTCAGCCACAGCTCCTCACTGAGCCAGCACGAGCGCACACACACAGGTGAGAAACCCTACGAGTGCCAGGACTGCGGCAAGGCCTTCCGGCAGAGCACCCACCTCACCCAGCACCGGAGGACACACACTGGGGAGAAGCCATACCAATGCAGAGACTGCGACAAGGCCTTCAGCCACAGCTCTTCCCTCACCAAGCACCAGAGGACTCACACCGGGTCAGCCTACTCACCTGTGCTAGAGACATGGGGACTTTACAGGCCATAGTTCATTGTTGCAGCCTTCTCTCCCACACACACATCACACTTGTCAGACTGTCAGACACCCTCAGCATCCACATTGACAGAAAGGATCTGAACAGCAGGCAAGTGTGCAAATAATCGACACGCAGGAGCTTCAACCTTGAACACCCATTAATGTTACATCATAGAACCTGGAAATGGGAAATAACAGATGCAGCGAGTCTGGTGATGGCTTCTGTCCAGTCTTCACCGTATTCTACAGAGCTGCTCAAAGCGGTAAGAATACACCATATGCTTCTCACATTAAAAAAATGATGTGAGAATGTGCTGGTAGGGCACACTGTCTGCTCCAGGGTGGGAGGTATTTATAAATGGTTCGAGTTGACTAACATTCCTAAAAAACAACATGGCAGTGTTCCAGAAATGAGCGTGGCATCTACATAAACTCACCATGGATGCATGACTGTCTCAGCACAAAGCTGGTTTGTGTGTGAACTGTACCATGAGGATATGTGGCAGCCAGTCCCAGAGACCTAAACTTCATATGACACAGTACCAGCATGCTATATTTAGAATGTAAATTTGTTATCTCCTGATCATTTTGCAGTAAGTTGGTTTCTATGTACAGTGGGGTTGAAAAGCTTCTATGGGAAGTCTAGAAACATAAACCGACTTCCAAGGAGTCTCGGATTCTGAGGTGGCTTTTTTTTTTCGGTACCAGGGATTGAACTCGGGTCTCTCCCCTTGAGAGGGAGGCAGTGGAACCACTGAGCGCTTTTGTCACATTGTTCCATGAGTTTCACTAGAGAACTCACAGGGATTAGAGATGCAGATGCTTCTGTACAAAAAGGGGGAAATAGTTAAGCCATCATCTCACCCGGTATTTTGCAATTTCTCTCTTTTGGAAACTGTACAAGTTAATCCTTTCCTACATTGGTTTTTCATTGACTTCATCTTGGTGTTCAGTAAGCTTTTGTTTTTACATCTAACGTGAAAGTCAGAGCTGGGGATTTAGCTCATTGGCTACCTGCCTAGAAAGCACAAGGTCCTGAGTTCTATTTCTAGTACCAGGGGGGAAAAAACTTGAAAGTCCACAGTAATTCATTGAACCTCGGATCTCCAAATAGCAGCCTCCTTGACAACGACAGCTCATAGGTAGTGGTTTGCCACCCTCTTCATTGGCTCCTTTTGTCTTCAACTGTCAGTTGTACCTTAAGACAGTTAGTTTGATTTTCCTAATCACAATGGTGGCCTACTGGAAATTTCTAATTGACTATAAAAATTTCTCTCTTGGGACTATGTTGCAAATAGTCTTCCAGTACAGTTCCTTGGTAGGCTTCTGGAATGCCTTTCTGGAGTTAGTTTCATTGTCATTTTAAAATTAAGAGAGTCAAGGTAAATTGTACATGGCAGCACTATCCAAGTGAAACAATGCAAGCTACCTGGGTGACTGTAATACTGGGTTAGTCCCATTTGAAAACCAGGAGCAGGTAAAGTTTAATATTTACCCCTAATATAGACCACATGTTCTGTTTTGACATGTCAATGTCAAAATTATTTTGAAAAAATAATTATTCAGAAATAATTATTCAAATTATTATTATTCAAAAATAATAATGAAAAAATTATTCAGGTAACTGCATTCTTTCTGTGCACTACATCTTTGAAACCTAACATCGACTTTACACTTGCACCACATCTCTGTTGTAGCTCACCCAACACACATGGCCATCCGGGGCAAATTGGGCAGTGCAGTTCAGTAGCTTTGATCCTTTGAGCAGTTGTCTTGACCTCCTTTTGTTGCATGAATCTGACCCCCTTTTCTCCATGCTTCTGTCTTTGGGTAGATGTGCTAGGAAATCAGATGCTGTACATGGCATGCTGGCTTCTGCTCCTAGATCCAGTGTAGAAATCTGTAGTATTTCAGAAACCTGAGTCCATTCCATTAATAAAGACAGCCAAGGTGCATGCTGGCTCAAAGCGGAATGCTAGAGGACAGCTGGAAGGCAAGGGAGGGCTGTGGTTGGAAAAATAAATCACTTTGTAATCACCATGCTGAAGACTGATTCAGGTAAAAATTATACATGGAGGCTAAATACAGGCAGAATTTTGATAAAGAGTATACTTGCATGAGCTTAAAGTATCTCCCCACAGATTGCGTAGTAGCTGAAAAGAGAGAGTAAATGGTGGGGAACTGGAACGTTGACCAGGTAAGCAAATGAAGCATCACAATAGGTGGGATATGGATGCTGCAGTCCCAGATGGCAGCCCCTGGGCTGCACACAGGCAAACCATGGGCTTGATGGATAGTGTTAGGAATAGGCACATCAAGATTAGCAATGTGCACATGTCCTTTGTGCAATTTTTATTTTTGTTCCTTTTCTATGAGTTTGAACTTGTTTCTAAATAAAGTTTTATAAGTAGTACAAAGCCAGGTATTATGGTACACACCAGTACTCTGGGAGGCTGAGGCAGTTGGATTACAAGTTTGAGACCAGCTTGGGCAACTGAGCAACTTGGTGAGATCCTGTCTCAAAATAAAAAAGGACTGAAAAAAAACAGGGCTGGTAGCTCAATGTGAAGCTTGTGGGTTCAATCTCCAGTACTACAAAAAAAAAAAGGCAGACATCTAGCAGTGTACTAAACAAGACAGGAGAAGGGAAACTGAAGAGATGGAGTGTTGGGCTTTACAGTAACAAAGGACTCATCTCTGGCTCCAAGTGTGGGATGTGTCACGAAATCAGTGGCAGTAGGCGAGGGCAGGCTGACAGGTCACAGAGGGAATTTCAGTTGAGAGGGCACACCTATGCTCTTTCTTATCAGAGCCCCACTCTGCTTGGATTCAGGGGTGAACAGGCTAATCGGAGAATTTAATGTAGAAACTGTGGCAAAGACAGACACCTCAGCAGGCCAAACCCAACCCAGCACAAGCCATGGGATCCTTTCTCTCCAAGGACACAGTAGAGATGAATGAATGGGGGCTTTCCCACATACCTCCAGGTCTGTGGACAGCAGAACACCAAAATAGATGGAGCCATATTCCTGAGTTACTGCAGAACACCCCTCCTACTCACAACAAGTAACACAACAGCCACAAAAGAGACTGTAATGTGAGTGAAGAAATAAATACTTTATTACGGTGAGCCTCTGTGATTTGTGGGTTGTTACACAGAACGCCTGCTCAGACACAGTGACAAAAAGAGGCAGTGACTTCTGTATCTACAGGGAGCAACTGAATTAATGCTCAGGCAACAGAAACAATGCTGTAATCAGATTCAATGTAAAATCAAAAGATCACTTTATAGAGCCCAAGGAGTTTAGTTCTCATTCATTTGCTCAGGCAGACAGATGGCTTCACCAACCTTTATTAGTATTTTCAACCCATTTTGATCTCAGCCCCCTAATAAGAAATACACTTTACATGGCAGCCGGTTTTCATATTTAGATACATAGCTGAAGTTTCACAAAACAATATTTGCCTTCACTACACAATGCATTCTGACCTATTCTACTCTACTTTGTGGCTTTGTAAAGCCAGTGGCCATCCACTAATTTGATTTCACAATTCACTAATAAGCTGGAGCCTACAGTTTGAAAACAGGCTCCAAGCATTTTGGGGATCTTTGCCAGCCACTCTATACAAGTAAAGACACATGAATTAAACTAGGAAAGTTTCCAGTTTTGAGGATTCAGAGATGAACTTGACATCATGTATGTATAAAAATGACAAAACATCTGTCAAGAATTCTGTTTGAACAAACTTGGAGAGCTCAAAGAAAAGGAGCAGTCAAGGCAAAGATGACTAGGAAGGCGCCAACAATCACACACGGTAAGGCAACTCTACACTCTGCACAACGTCAAATGAGCCTGCGTGTGGGATGGTGCTGAAGTGACTGGAAGAAAGCAGCTTACACTGTGAGCATCTGCCCAGGGGGGTTCTGGAGGGGAGGGAGGTTCCCCCAGGACTCTTCCCACTTCTAAGCACTTTAGTCAACCCTAGGAGAGTGATGTCAAAAGACATCACAGGAAGCCACCACCAAAGGACACACTTCTGGATTCACAGCCAGGCCAAACTCATCTCATGGGACTCTCACAGCACCTTCCCCACGTGGGCTCCAGGCCTCTCCCTCCTCCTTGAGGGCCCAATGCTCTGCAGCCAGGCCGAAGTGTTCCTAGCAGTCAGGGCAGGCACGGTGCTTCTTGCTGCTGTGACTGCTATGGTGTTCAGCAAGGTGGGCAATCCATGCAAAGACTTCCCCACACTCACTGCAGGGGTACGGCTGCCCACCGCTGGCTCCAGCCTCAACCACTGCAGGGCTGGATGCTGAGGAGGGGCCCGGGGCCTGCTCCACTGGCGACCCTATGCCTTGTGGGGCCAGCTCCTTCCCCGCATCGCTGGAGGCACTCTCCGGTCCCTCCAGCCCTTCACCCTCATCCTCATCCTCGTCCTCCGGATGGGGCCTCTTTGTTCCAGCACCTGGCTGCAGGCTGGCCAGCCCCACTGCATCCTTGTCCTGCTCTTCCAGTGGTGGCATGGCGCCCAGCTTGGATTCCTCTCCCTGATCATCTGGAACCTTCTCAGGCTGCCCTTCCTCCTCCTGGGCCACGTCCCCTGAAGGGCTCACGGGAGCATCCTCAGCAAGCCTGTCTGCCAGCACCTTATGCCCAGAGATGTCCTCACACATATCCCCTTCGCTTTCGTGATGCCCCCCGTCACCTGCAATGGGTCAGAATGTGAGCAACCTGCCTCTTAGGGCCCAAGAGATGGAAGCTGCTTCCAGCACAGAACTGGGGAGAGCGAGGCCTAAACCTGAACAATGGGAAGAGGAACTCAGAGGACAGCAACGACCCTCTTCCCAACTCCGTGAGACCACACTGCAGCCCAGTGCGCTGTCACAGCCTGGCTGGCCTGGAAGGTGGCCCTCTCCCCCACTCTGCTCCCCCTTTGCAGCAGGCTCTACATTTCACGGAGTCTCTCTCCTAGCCTGCCTTGCAGCCACAGTGGCCATGCAGCCGTCGGCACAAGTGTGAGGGTTGGGCAGCCTTGTCCTTCCTACCTCAGTGAGATGAGACCTGAGCAGCCACCCTGCACCAGAGAGTGACATGGCAATGGACAGCCATGAGACAGGGAGCCCACCTGTCACCAGGAAGGACCACGTCAGCCCTTGGGATAAACCAGCTGGTTACACTCGTGCCTCCCCCCACCAGGTGGCCCACTGGAAAATAGGACATTATTGTGCACAAAGGTGGAGAGAGGCTGGTGTGTCCCTCCCTCCTGGAGCTCAGCCATGATTCCCTGTCCCTGAGGAAGCTAGGGCAGCCCCAGAGGCCTCTGTCACCTCAGGTGAGCTGCCTGTGAAGAGCGCAGTAATGGGCAGTGACTGAGGCCACCTGGAACTTGCAGCAGGGCTCAGGTCCCTACAAGACTATGACGCCCTGAAGGCCAGCGTAAAGCAGAACAGCCACACAGGTGAGCCAGTCAGCCCACAGATACTTGCTGCGCTGTTTCACTGGGGATCTGTTTCAGGGTGACTGGTTATGCAGAAAGAGACCATGAAATAATACTGCTGCCTCCTGCTCTACTGCACAGGGTGGGACGGCAAAGAGGCTCATGGAGGCCCGGGCCTTACCTGGCCACCCTCCCCTGCAGCAACCCCCGCTGACCTCACCTGGGCCACTGTCTTCTGGCAGGTCCAGGTCCTCCAATCCAGCCTCCTCAGTCTCCAGCCTGGGGACAGCATCAGGCTGAGAAAGCTGATATCCTGAGTAAGTGAAGAGCACCAGAAAAGCTGGGGAAGCAGCTGATGGTCTCCTGTCCCCTCTACACCAAACCCCACTGCAGCTGCCCTCCATCAGAGCCCTGAAACCCAGAGGTCCTGAGGACGAGGCAGCAGAGACCAAGAAGAGGGTCTGCCTGGGTGAGGCTGGAAAGCCGATGGGGAATGGGGAGGTGGGGAGCCAGGGACAGCAAGTCACTGACCAGAGTGCAGAATCGAGTGGAGGCAACTCAGCAGCACAGTACTACCCTAGCCAGTGGGGGGCACTGGGCTCCATTCCCAGTGCCACCCAACCACATAATGACAACTATAAAGAGTTCAGTCTGTTGGCCCCCTCCCAAGGAGAGTAACAACTTCCACCAGGCTGGCAGGAGGAGAGGCCATCTGCCACAGGGAGGGTGACAGGCGGGGACGATGTGGCTCAGGTGGATCTCCTAGGCCAGACTGTGAGGGTGAGCGGGGACTTGGCCAAGGATCCAGCACAGTCAAGTTCAAACACCCAGCCCTGGGACTAGAGGTACAGCATGGCCGCAAGGAGCCTCACCCCAGAGGAGCAGCTTCCTGTAGCTCTGCAGGTTCTCCTCTGCGGGATTCAGGTGATCCCACTCCACCAAGGCCAGGGGCTCCTCTGAGAATGACTGTGGCTTCTGGAACAGCAAGGCAGCCCGAGCTCAGGCCTGCACCCTCTCTGAAGGACACATGGCTCCTTGAACACCCACACCTCTGACCGCAGTTGCACAAGCCACTCCCTCCTGCAGGTGGGTCCCGGGGAGGGCAATGCAAGCCCTAGGTCCCACAGAGGCCGCCACTTACCTCCGGCTCAGCTCTGGCAGGACCAGCCTCCCCGGACTTTTCTCCCCCCACACTCCTCTGCTCCAGAAGCATGGACTCCAGGGCAGGCCAGGCTGGAAGGAGGGAAGGCAACTCTAAGGAGACAAGTTCTGTGTGACTCAGAAGTTCAAAGGAGGGGGCAGACCCCACTCCCTCCCCACACCAGCCCAGGTGGTCATATCGCTGCAGGTCCTGGACACTGTGTCTGTCTCCACTTTACAGAGCGGAGTGGCTACAGAAAAAAGCAAGTTCAGGCTCCACAGAGGCCCCAGAGATGCCAACCCCAGCCAGGAAAGGGGCACTTGTTTTACCCACTGCTTTGGTAAAGTGCTGGCATAGATGTGGGCAGGTGGGCAACTTCCTATCCCAGCACTGCAGACACAAAACTTTAAGGAAACCACTTGAGTTTCTGCCATACATAAATGTCAGTGGCTTGAGGAACCCATCCTCAGCACACAGAAACATCACATGCAGCACCCAGCCAGGACACCCTGTAGCCTGCTCCGGACAGAAGGCCAGGCTCAGAGATGCACAAGTCAGCTGCCGCCCAGAAACCGCCCCTGAACACCAAACACTGGGTCCAGACACACAGTGCCCAGCCTCCGCACACAGGCAAGGTGCAGACTCACAGCTTCCTCTCCACAGGCCACAAGGGCTGGGAGACTACTTTCCTCTTTGTATGTCAATGCTTTCTCGCCATCTGTGGAAAGCATGTGTGACCAAGCCCCCTTCTTAAGAGGAACTGAACTAAAAATCAGCACATCTGAGATGCAGAACCCATGAGGACAGGCCACCTGGAGCATGCACCCTGCCCTGCCTCCCCACCAAAGGCACCACCCAGCTTGGCTGGGTGTCAGGGGCCCCAGAAGCACCCAGCCTACCTGGCAATAGCAGTGGGTCTGAGTGCTGCTCATACACTCCCTCGCTGAACTCAGATGATGAGCCCCCAGGGGAACACAGCAGCATCCCTGTCCACAACCAAGGGAACAATGACACGGAGGCAGGAGGCCCCTGGGTTCCCAGGCTTCATTACCACCCATGCCTCAGACCTGACCCTCACCCAGAAGAAACCTACACCCAGCAGTGTCCCCACAACGTTTACCCACTTTTTAAGAGAATGGTCCCTGCCTTTGACTGTCCTCCATTTTGTCTCCTTCTAAACATCTGGAAAACAGATGCAAGGGCAAGAGCCCCAGCAGCTGTTCTGGCCCAAGAGGCAACCTTAAGGGAGAGGCCACTGGACAGCCTGGTTAGGTTCTGGATTACTCGCCTCTACACTTCTTACACACAGGAAAACTAAACTCTCATGACACCCAGTGCTGTAGATTCCAATCCTTCCAGACCCTCCTCCCTGTTTCCTCTTGGATAGGCTCTTCTGGGGTGGCAGCTTCACCTGGCTCATCCAGGACATCGGAGAGGCCCTCCACCAGGGAAGCTGCCTTCTTGCAGTTCTCAGGATACTGGGCCACCACCCAGGGGCGGACCCTGTCAGGTAGGATGCCCAGGAACTGCTCCAGCACCAGCATTTCTAGGATCTCCTCCTTGGAGCAGGACTCAGGCCGCAGCCACTGTCGGCACAGCTCATGGAGCCGGGCCAGGGTCTGGTGCGGCCCTGCTGCTTCCTGGTAGGCAAATTCCCGGAAGCGCAGGCGGGAGAACTCAAGGTCCACAGGGGTCCTCTCACAGCCAGTCTCAGCCTCAGCCTCAGCCTCAACTTCAGCTGCGTCAGGATCGACCTCAGCGTCAACCTCAGCAGCATCATCAGCCTCAGCCGCACTGCCATGGACCTCAGCCACATCGGCATCGACGTCGTCGGCCTTCACCTCAGCATCGATTTCAACCTTGGCAGCGTTGGCACTGACCTCAGCCATATCAGCACCGACCTCACCCACACTGGTATTGGCTTCAGCATCAGCCTCCACCTTGGCGGCATCGGCACGGCCCTCGGCCACACCCTCACGACCCTCAGGAATGGTCTTGGCACGGCCCTCGGCCTCACCCCTGGTCTCAGCAGAGGCCTTGGCCTCCAGCCCAGCATCGGCTTCAGCGCTGGCCTCAGCCTCAGCCTCAGGCTCCCCCTGCTGGGCTGCATCATCTGAGCCCAGCATGGGTGGTTCGGGAGGTGCTGGGGAGCTCCTGGGAGAGGCCATGGCCTTCTCGAGAGGCAGCATCTTGCCAGGCCTGCACTGGAAACGTGGCCGTGTCTAGCCAAGGGCAGAGCAGAGATGCCCAGGATGACAGGTGCCCAGGGGCAGTCGGCCAATGCCAGGACCCAGGACCTGCAGGGGAGAGCACCAAGACAGACACCACACAGTGAGTGCACAGAGGAGCACAAGGGGCCTCGCCACCCATCCGCGGACCCATCAGACCCACCAGAACCCCAGCTTTGTTCTCATACAGATAAAAGTTAAGCACAAAGAACAACTCATTTAGTAAAAGTAGTGTTGCCACAGTTTTCTTTAAAATGTCAGGATATAATGAGAAAGAAAAATTATAGAGCAACCTCAATCACAAACCAAAGGAAAAAGCCTTAAAAGATCAGTAAACTCACCCCAAACCTGCATGTGTGTTAACACATGTAACATGCATGCATGTAGGCCGCATCGTATCAGACTTGGGTTTGTCCCAGAAACATAAGGTCTGTTTCACATTTTAAAACATGTCCTATGGAGACTCCAGTTTCCAGTGACATGGAAGGACTAGGTGTCAAGTTGTCCCTCCCTTTAAACCACTAAAGACCTGAACTACAGCCTGAATTTAGGCAAAGGAGTGGGAAGGTCCCTCTGGGGCCAGGTACACGACCAACACCTACTTCTGAAAATGACAGAGGCCTGCAGACCTGGGCTGACCCATCCATAGAATCAGTGGAGAGGGATCAGGAGTTGCTGGGGTGGGGAAGACAGGATATGGAGGTGACTGAAGGGAGGGGAGAACACAGGTCACAGCCAGCCCCCCACGCACCCCAGCTAGATCCTGTGGGCAGGAGAGCACCACCTGCAAGACACATACCACTCAAGCCAAGACTCGGGACATTCAGGTGAAGTTTTACTGTAACTGTGGGCAAAAAGAACGAGCTAAATAGACCACAGGCAGCCAAAACCGACCTCAGGCCTATGAGGTCCACTACAACTGGCTCCTCTGGGGACCTGCAGGGCTGGCAGGAGGCAGACTTCCCACACACCATGGGACCAAGCAGAGAGCCACAACTGAACCCAGGGCAAGCACTGCTCTTTGTGGAACCACAGAAAGCAAACACTTTTTCTTCCAGACATATGTTTTTGAGGAATCCAAGAAAATCTCTGCATGACCACAGCTGCCATGAGGATGTGTTCTGAGCAACCCCACTTTTACAGAGAAAACTGACGAGGTGAACCGATACGGGAACAGGCATTGCTGACCATTTCCGAGTGCAGCTGGGGTCTGTGCTGACATTTCTCCACCAGTATCCGGGGTGCCAGGACCTCAGGGCTGGGGAGGTGAGATGAGATGTCCAGGACAGGCAAATCCAGAGAAGAAAGGGATCTGTGCTGCTGGCAGCTACGGGGATGGGGACAAACCACGAATGGGTTAGGGTTTCTTTTTGGCTTGATGAAAATGCTCTAAAATTAACTATGGCAATGGTCGCACAACTCTGAATATGCAAAAAACCAATAAACTGTCCACTTTAGAGAGGAAAACTTCATGGCATATAATTATATCTCAATAAAGTTGTCTTTGGAAATGTAGGCAGAGACTCAACTTTCAACTGTTTCCCGCTCCCTCTGTGGCTAGTAGGGAAGGGGTTACAGGTAAACGTAGACATCTAAATGCTTGGGAAGACTTCCCACACAGGGTTCCATTTCCCTCAAGAAAAAAGACCTGTACCACCACCACCACAATCATCAGCACTGTCTTCACCACCACCACCAACATCACCACCTCTCACCATAACCACTATCCTAACTACCACCACCAACTGTCATCACCACCAGGACCATCAGCATCACTGTCATGACCACCATTAACGATACCACCACAACCACTACCACTACCACCACCATGCCCATCATAACCATTAAACCAGCAGCAGCACCATTATTCTCCAGCAGCAGCACCACCACTCCTCCCTCTAATCCTCGCCATGACTCCCTCTGCCCATCTGTCCCATGGCATTTCCTTCATCCATCCTCCCCTGCCCCTGCCCCAGCCCACTCTCCAGTATTTTCTTACCTTCTTCAGGGCTGGGCTCTGAAGTGGACACCTTCCCTCCACTCCCTGTATGCTCTCTCCTATCCACCCCCAGCCCTTCCTAGCCCCTCCACCTTTTGACCACTTGCTAACTGCCTCCCCCGCTGGAACGTGAGCTCAGGAGAGCAGGGCTTTCCTCTAGGCAGGTCTGGGCCTGGGCAGTGCCTAGCTCAGTGACTGCATAAATTCTGATTTTTGACAGTGCATCTCTGTTGAGGACATGGCTATGCCTAATGGCCTTATGGAACCTCACATCCATCTACCTGGAGTCATGATATATTTGGAGATTGAATGGAGGAATACAATACCTGGGCTACAAGGTACAACCTCACCCCTACTACCCATTATAGCAGCACCCAGCAGGAGCCCCTTCCTTACACCCTGTCCCCCACCAGACACACACAGAGGACCTGGCCACTATCCACCCACTTCATACCTCAGTACTTTCCATGGTTTTTTCAACTCTGTGAGTGGCTGAACTACCTCAGTTGCTTCCCTTATAGCTCCGCCAGATAATTACTGAGTTCTCTGTCTCCATCATGCTTTTCACTTGCTGTTATCTTCTGACTATACCTGTTTCATACCAAACTTGACCATTTGTAAGATAAATTTCTGAATTCAGAAGCCTGGTTAAAAGGGCTTTCTTCTCTACCATTCATTCACTCTCCTGAGGGAGGAATGAAAAATGGAAAGGGTCAGGTAGAAAAGATCTGAAGCCCCAAAGGCAGAGTCCTGGTGGCAGCCACTCGACTCTGCCTGTCTGACAGCAGAACTTGGGCAAGTTCCCACACACTTTAAAAACAGCCCACTGACCAGGTGCAAATCTGTCTATCAGACTTTTAACTTTTTAAGCCATGTTTTGTTTTATTTTAGAACTAGTGACTAAGCCCAGGGTCTGCACACTCAGATACATTCCCAGCCCATTCTTGTTATTTTGAGACAGGATCTCAGTGAGCAGCTACATTGCCCAGGATGGGCTCAGAGTTGTGATCCTCCTGCCTCAGCCTCCCTGTGCTGGCATAACAGCTTGTCCTGCTTCTGATTCAGCTGGCAGATCTCTTGGTGCAGTGGCAATGCCAGCTCTAGCTAGTCATCAGGCAAAGGACACATAGAGCTCTTCATGATCATGTGGGCAACTGCTCTTCTTAGCTCCCACAGGCATGTGTGCCCTGCGAAGCCTGTGCACACAGGTGACTGTGACTTTCCCCACAAATCCCTGTACAAGGCTTGCCCAGCAGGCTGCACCCCAGCTCATGATTCCTCTCCTCGGAGCTCCAACATCCCCGAGGTAGGGACCAGAACAGCCCCAAGGAGCAGGTGAGGAAATAAGAGGTACAGAACAGTGCTTGGGCCCAGATTCTCCCCACTCTGAGCATGGAGATGCCATGGGGCCCTCAGCCAACAGCTGGACCGGTGAGAATAGGAAGCCATCTCCCTGGTCACAGCACAGGAGGGACACGTCATGTCTGGGGACCAGCAGGGCCATCTGTCTTCAGCATTTGGGGCTGTGAGCCTCCTGAGGACCCAGGCCACCCACGGATACCATCAGCAGCTGAGAGGCCTGAGAGATGCCCCCTGCAGGAAGCTGTTCACACTGGGAAACAGCCTGTCCTCCATCATACCCAAGGTCCCTGTCTCCCTCTCTACAGGGCCCAGTAGTAGAGTAATAGAGCCCAGTGTAGCCTGGGCTACACATGGTGAGATCCTTTTTCAAAAACAAACTCAACAAAAAACTCAAATAAGTGAAGTGGACCTTTTAAAAGGAAAAATTACAGAGTGAGGAATCATCATTAATATCTCAGCTGCCGCCGAGCATGGTGGCACACACCTGTAAGCTCAGCACTCAGGAGGCTGAGACAGGAGGATCATTGCAAGTTCAAGGCCAGCCTGGACTCCATAGTGAGTTCAAGGCCAGCCCGAACTACCTAGTGAGACCCAGTCTCAAAAAACCAAAATAAATAAAATAAAATCTCAGCTCCATCTCAGGTCCCTGCCAAGAACACACACTCCATCCTGTCATGAAGTCATGCAGGACAGATGGATGCTCTGCACAACTCCCCTGGGCTCTCTCCAAGGTCTCAAGGTCAGCTTTGCCAAGAACCAGAAGGAAAAAGAACTTGGTACAATCAGACAGAAGAGAGGCCACAGACACTATCAGGACGGGGACGAATGAAGGTAGATCCCAGGATGCTAAGACCCCCACCTCTGGCCTCAAGAAGCCTACTGAGGTACAGGTGGAACACAAAATGGGGGGAGTAAAGTGGGGAGGGGGCGATGAAGTCAGGAAAATGGCAAAATACTGACAGGTGAATGGGCAAAGGGTACACAGGAGTTCCACAACCTTCTAGTGAGTTTTAAAATTTTACAAGGAAAAGCCAATCCCCAGTAGTCTCCAGCCCCTCTGCCCTCCCTCTACCGCAGCACCGGGGAGGCAGAAACATCCATTCCACTCCAAGCCCTCGGGTCAGCACCAAGGCTAGGACTCCCACTCCTGCCCTCAATATCCCTCCTCCACCAGACTCCCCCCATCTACAGCTCCCCTGCGCTCTCCCATCCTGAGGCACCCTCAGTCGGGCCACCCAGTTACCCAGGAAGAGCGCCTCCCCCCAGCCTACAGCAGGGGCTCGTTACCCGCCGAAATCCTCTCATCTCTCCCAGCACAACTGCGGCCCTCTCCATTGTACCCCAACCCAGCACCCAGGGGAGAGGCGATCTGCAGCCACACCAACACTGCACCGCGGGGGGATCCCCCAGACCTCCCGACCTCACACTATCCCACCCAAAGGCACACAGACCTCCCTGCCATCCCACACGAGGGTGGGGGACGACAGCATCGGGGGCCACACTCCAGCCCGAGGGCCCCCAGACCTCTCCTCCTGTCCCCACACTCGGGGGCCACACCCGCCCACACTCCCCCAGGAGCCAGCAGCCCCTCCGATCCCAGGCCGCGCCCGGAAGCCCCAGCCCTGCGCAGCGACCCGGCCAGGCGCTCACAGCCCACTCAGGAGCGCGCCCGAGGCCGGACCCACCTGCTGCGCAGCGGCCCCAGGCGGGTTCCGGCGACCCCTAGCCCAAGAGGCAGGATGGCGGCCGGCTGAAGGGCGCGTGCGCGCAGGCCGGGCCCACGGACTGCGACTCCCAGGATGCTAGAGGGCCGCAGCGCGGCCGGGCAGGGACGAGGTCGCGCTGACAGGACAGACAGCCAATCAGAGGCAGGGACTCCTCTCCGTCCCACCCCACTGGCGCCTACGTCTCTTCCTATGCCATGGCAACGGCGTAAACAAGCGGATGCGAAAAGCGGCCAGGATTGCCCGACACCTGAGAGGCGGAGACAAAGGCACGAAGGGACTGAAAGACGGGACAACGCGTTGGCTGGAAGTAAAAGCAACCGGAAAGCCCTAGACGCTCGTGTCCAGACAGGCAGACAGACAAACAGAGAGAAGACCAAGAGTCAGTCCGAGCCCCAGAGATGGAGAGACGCGCGGGAACAGAGATGCAGAGGGCTGGACTGCGCGGGGAGACGCGGGGAGACGCGGGGAGGGTCCCACTCAGGGTGGGGAACCCAGACACTGGGGCAGCCGAGGAGACAGAGCCGGAGGCTGAGAGGGACTCCTGAAGATGGAGAGACAGAGGCCCTGCTTCTCAGCCGAGAAAGAAGTCTGCAGGACTCGAAGCTCGCAGCACGGCTTCTGGAGCTGCTGCGCCGAGGGGCAGAGGGAGAGGTCGCTGGGCGAGGGAACCTGCATCCTCCCAGCTCCCCACAGCAGAGCTTCTGAGGAGGTCATGTTGGTCGTTTGGAATGATTTTTAAGACGTATAAGTGAACAGCTCCTTTTACTGTACAGACATTTTTATTTGCATGCACCAACACTCACTTTTTGTTCAGTTCTGAGAATTTTAACTCGTATACCACAAACACAATCGGGACAAACAATTCCACTGCCCCTTTGCAGTCATGCCCTCTCCCACCCACAACCCTGAGCACAGGTTTCCCTCTACAGAATGTCGTATAAATGTAATTATGTGGCATGTAGCCTATTGAGATTGGCTTATTTTACTCCACATAATTCTCTTGAAATCCACTTGTGTGGATCATGTTTGTTCCTTCTTATTGCTAAGTAGTATTTTGACGGTATACAATAAATATTCATCCACCGAAAGACACTGGATTTGTTCCCAGTATTTTGGTGTTACAAATAAACACGCTATAAACATTCATGTACAGATTTTTAGCGAACCTAAGCACTCACCATTTAGGGGATAAATGCCCAAGACTGCAATTGCCAGGTCATATAGCATATGCATAGTGTAGAAATGTGTACTCTTTTCCAGAGTAGCTGTACATTGTACATTCCCAACAACAACACCTGTATGAATCAGCTCCACATTCTTATTCAGCACTGGGTGTTTTTGTTGTTGCTGGTGGTGTTGGTAGTGATAGGTTTGGGGAGGTTTTTTCTTTTTTTTTCCCAGTCTCCATTGTGAAATTTCATTGTGGTTTTAATTTGTACTTCCCTAATGGCTAGTAACATCCCCCATATTTTCACAGTATTTGCCATCTGTGTTATATCCTCTTCAGTGACATCTGCTCTCCTTTTGCCCATTTTCTAAGTTTTAAAAAATTATAGTTTTGAAAAGACCTTTATATTCTACATATAAGCTTTGTCAGATATAGACCTGGAAAATATTTCTTCCCAGCCAGTTCCTTGTCTTTTTATGTTTGTTAACAGGATCTTTGGCAGAACAAAGGAACAAGTCCTGAGGGTCCCCTCCTGTATTTTTCATCAAAGTGTTGTAGTTTTACCTTTTATGTTTAAGTCCATCATCAATTTTAATTTTTGTATAAGATGTGAGGTTTAGACTTAGGCCCATTGTGGTTCCCTGTGGATGCTGATGTGCCTTTTTCTCTGACGCCAACTGGGTGTCTAAAGATCCAACCCAATTCAGACACTGCCCACCCATAATTAGTGCACCGTAGACAAGTCAAGGGCTCAGACCCACTTGAGACACCAGTCACAGGCTACTCACACTTCTGCTAGGCCAGCTACAAATCCTAATCTCGGGCTTGATAATCACAGAGCACAGAAATGCACGTATGTTTGTCTATTAATGATACAGCATGTAAGTCAGGAGCAGCCAGAGGCAGGAGCTACATAGGGTAAAAGACACAGACAAGACTTCCCTGCCTCGCTGGACACACCACCCTCCCACAGGCCCCTTGAACCTCACGGGCAGAGAGTTCTCACCCTCTCAGTGGTGACCAGCCAGCCCCATCCTGGCACTTAGCCACCTCATTTGCTTAACTCAGGTATAATTATGAAAGAGCTTCTTTATGAACAAAAGACACTCCTATCGGGAAATGCCGACACTTTCAGCTCTGTGCCAGCAAAGGAAAAAGACCAAATATGTTTTATTACAGCCCAGATGTCAAGCTGCTGCACCACTGCATTGAAAAGACTAGCCTACCTTTTGTTTCCTCATCAAAAGCCCTGCTAGGAGCATCTCTGTGGTTCTAGTCCTGTGTTCTCTATTTGTTCCATTACCACGCTCTCTTGATAACCATAGCTATAAGTGTTAATTTTGGGTAGAGTCATTTCTCCTGCTTTTTTCCTTTTACAAAATTATTTTAGCTATTCTGTCTTTTGTATAGTTTCTATACAAACCAGAATAAATTTACATATGTGTACAAAAACTGGCTGAAAATTTGATAAGAATTATGCACATTTTTGTATCTCTTTCTTGCCTAAGTGCACCAACTGGAGCTTGTAGCATAATTTCTAAAAGCAGTGAGGAGAGTGGGCAGTCTTGCCTCTTGTATACTCACAGGTGGAAATCAGGCTTTCACCATTTATTACATTAATTACAGATTATTTGCACATAACCCTTTTCAGATTAAGGAAGTTCCTTTTTAGTGCTAATTTGTTGATACTGAACTTTGTCGAATGCTCTGTCTGAATTTATTAATAAGATTACATAATTTTGTTCTTTAGTCTATTAGTACAGTGGATTGTATTAGTTTTGAAAATCAAAGCCAGTTTTGTATTCTCAGGGGAAAAAAAAACCCTTTGTTAGGTTGCATTGATGTTGTTTGCAAGATTTTATTTGCTGATATTTAGATTTTTGTGTCTACATTCCTAAGGCCTGTCAGTTTGCAGGTTGTTTTGTTTGTACCTTTGAGTTTAGTAACCAGGTAATGCTAGCATCATAAAATGAACCTGGAGGGGAGGGCTCTACCTCATATGTGGAATTAGCACCCTCATAAAGAGGCTCCAGAGAATCTGCTGGCCCCTTCCACAAAGTGAAGACAGTGCAAGAAGGCACTTTTAAGGAACAGGGCCATGCCAGACAGCCCGCTGGTGACTTTGCCTTGAACTTTTCAGCCCCCTGAACTGCAAGCAATACATTCCTATTGTTTATAGTTTTTATAGTAGCTTAAACAGGTTGTGATTGCACCCTTATCCTTTGAATATCTGTGGCCTCTGTAGTAACAGCTACTTTTCATTCCTGATGTTGGTAACCTGTCCTGCTGACAAGAAGCTTTATTGTTTTCTTTCTTTTCTTTTTTTTTTTTTTTTTCTGAATTCCTTTTTTTTTCTCATCCCTTTCTCTCCAGTCCACTTATCTTCTTTTTTTGGTACCGGGGATCAAACTCGGGTCCTTGCTCTTGCGCAGCAGGTGGCGAAACCACTGAGCTAAATCCCCGACCCAGCTTTATCATTTTCGCTGGTCTTTTCAGAGAAACAACTGAAAGTTTCATTAATTCTTTCTTCTAGTTTTCTCATGTTTGTTGTATGACATACTATATAAGTATTCAGAAATACAGAAGTAAATGCCAGAAAAGGAAATGCCTGCCTCTGGTGAGCAGTGGAGCTGCCAGTTTCCCTACCCTCTTTTGTCATCATTCGATTTTTTTGTACCAGTTATGTATTACGATTTGACAAAAAGTTTAAGCATATTAATAGTTCGAGGTAAGGTGCAAAAATTACTTTATTTGAAAACGAACACAAACTCCCAAACCTGATACGTATGCATATGTTTGTAGAAAAATGACAGCAACAATTCCATGTTTACATGACGCATAGCAGCATGACGCACTGCATCCTTATGAGGCAGTTTCATCCACACTGGTCACTAGAGAAAAGTGAAGCCAAGCCCCTACAGCTCTAAGATGGCGAGAGAGGCTGAGCTCAGGTAGCCAGCCAGATGCCCTGCCCCCAGCATTGAGGTTGCACCTCTAACTTGTGCTCCACCTTCCTGCAGCAGCCACCTCAGGGCACAGTGGCAAAGGACCCTTGAAAGGCCCCCAGGGAGCAGGGTCACACCGTCCAGAAAAAGAGTAAAATGTACACTGGCATGTGGATTTGGACAGAGACAGAATTCCAGCCCATCAGGAAAAAAATTAATTGTTCAATAAATGGTCTTAGAACAAAACTATCTCTAAGTTCAATCCCCAGTACTGAGGGGGAAAATATTTGATCCTAATGCCTTATAACATATCAAAGTAAACTCCAAAGGGACCTAAGATTTTAATGTATAAAATAAAACCATAATATAGACTTAGAGGAAATACGGAAACTTTAAGTCTTTGTATGGGTTTTAGTTTTGTTTTCATCCAGGAGCTATTTTAATCTAAATACTATTTTGTTTCTTTTTTTTTTTTTTGAGACAGGATATCACTTTGTAGTTCAAGCTGGTCTTGATCTGACTATGCAGCACAGGCTGGCCTCAAACTCATAGCAGTCCTCCTGCCTCAGCCTCCTGAGTGCTGGGATTACAGATGTGCACCACCATGCCTGGCACTTTTTATTAAGTACTGGGGTTTGAACCCAGAGGTGCTCTACCACAGAGCTACATTCCCATCTCTTTTTATTTTAAGACAAGTTCTTCCTAAATCATTAAGTTCCCCAGGCTGGCTTTGAACTTGCAATCGTCCTGACTCAGCCTCCCTTGTTGCTGGGATTACAGTCATGTAGCAGCACACCCACCTAGCATCTGAAATTTCTGAGAGATTCCTTTAAGCAAAAGTACCAAAGAGTTGGCTAAGTCAAGCTGGTGGAGAATCTGGCTTGCGGCTCTCGCCCCGTGTCCAGCAGCAAAGGGGAGGGGAGGTTCGGAAGGCTGCAGCTGCAGTCTGA